TCCCGTTCAGACTAGCCACTACCACAGTTAAACAATGGCTCTAAAGCCCTTTGATTAGTAGTCAATTCTTAATTCTGCTGAAAGCCCTGGTGGAGTCTGCTAGAAAGACTTCGGTACCCTAAATACTCCGCATTTTTTCAACCTTTTTATGGGGTCTTGAGGAAGCCATGCTTACGAAGGAGGAACAATATGGCTGCGCCAGTTAAGAAACTGCACTAACAATCAAGACGATTTTTCGCTTATGAACTGGTGACACTGACTGGAGGCTTCTGCGCAGACATTCGTCTAGGAAGTTTCGTTGTTAATATTTTTCTAACGTTTTCGATAGTTCGACCGTCGTATGAGTTAGTTTATACTGATAGTAGACTTGCATAGTATCTACCGCACTCTCGTCTCCCCCACCTGGATCCGGTGTCAAAACAAATTCAAGAGCACCAGGAGGGCACACGTGAATGGCGCGGTCGAGCTCGCACCCTGCTGCTTCATGCCACACCTCCTGGGCCACACACAACATGACTAGGTTTTTGACCAACAACAACAATAGGGGACTGCAGGGGTCTCAGTGTGCGCGACGTCTGCCAGCAACCGGGCCTGCCACCGAATACCGAAATGTTGGCATTTCTTATGGTGCGTAATCAGACAACGCCTGCCAGAATCCGATAGAGTCCCCGTGTTAGTCCAGCGCATCTCCCACGCGGTCCGTTTGGAAGCACAACTAATATTTTTACTTCTTTGTTGACAGACTCCGAACAGGAGGATAGGATTTTGGGGGTTTCATAATCAGCAAAATCATATTACTCCTCACCGACGCACAGCAAATATTTTAAAGGAGTGCTTAGAGTACAATCAAATCAAAAGCCGAAATATGAAACAGAGATTTTCCCCAAATTGCCCTGCATCTCAAGACATGATTAAGCAATACCGGCTACTGACGAAAGCCCATTCACTTCCTACTAGTGTGTTTTAAAAATGCGCCGAAGCATATATTCCGTCGTTAGTGAGACAAGTGATGTCGCATTTAAGGAGAATTCGGAAAATTCTCCCGGAATTTACTTGTAAGCAGCTCACGGACTCAACTTCTAACCGATAACTTTACTTTGAGTCACCACGCAGTGTTCTAAAGTCGCTGCGCGAGCAATGTCCGTTATGAGCGCGATACGCAGAACGTTTATACACTTGAATAAAGATGTGTTTAGCAAAGTATACGGGACATTCGTGCGGCCGCACCTGGAATATGCGGTACAGGCTTGGCGGCCGTGGCTTCGGAAGGATATGGATATCCTTGAAGGTGTACAACGGCGTGCTACAAACGCTGTTCATGGCCTCAAAAACTTCACGTACGAGCAGCGCCTGACGGCCTTGAACCTCTATCCCCTCCACTACAGGCAGGACAGAGGTGACCTCATAGTAACGTTCCAGTTGGTAAAAGGACTTAATCTGGATGTCGACTGGGAAACGTTTTTTAAAATGGCACCCAAGTCCAATCTCAGACGACATGATTACCAGCTTAAAAGAGAACTGTGTCACACAAATCAACGCTCCTCGTTTTTCTCACAGAGAGTCATTCGCCAATGGAACTCTTTGCCGGTGTTTGTTGTTAATTCCCCTACCGTGAACGTGTTCAAGAGACAACTGGATGCTTACCTGCTGAAAGGCAACCCGAACTGCCGAAGCCTGATCTAATGGATTACTTAAATGACTATAAATATACTACTAACAAGATTTCAACAGATCCTATTTTGTGTTCCAAACTTAGCCCATATTGAAATTTTCGCAGTCCGAATGCGGTGAACAAAGTTTTTCGCAATTATTTCGCGATTATAATACCCCTTTCGCCTTTATGTTACATTATTAGATTTATGAATTCTCCTTACTAAAACTACAAGCTTTGTAATTTACCTATTTTCCCTTATATCTGTACCCTCTAAATGGAGTTTTCAGGGCTTCTGTCGTTTACTCCAAATATACTGACTGATACTGACTGAATCCAAACGTTTGTAATAGTACGACTAGACGTGAGAATCATACTAGCAGATTTATATTGGACGTTTACTATTGTACTCCTATGAGCGTCTAATTCTTGCCCAAAAGGTTCTCCAAAGCACCTTTGAAACTGAATGCGTGGTTTTCTGATAAATTCCAGCACCTTCCTTAGGATGATGTCAACTAGGGCATGCCGTTTCTTATATATTATGTTGTTTTTGAATTTTCCTTGAAAATTCCATTTTGCTGCTTCAGTACCACGTGGCAGTGCACTAATCGTTCTTTAACTCTGTCGATTGTCAGTGTTATCGCAGTACCTGAACTTTGCCTCTTACGGCTTGAGTAAATAATGGCATAATTTGTGAGCTTTGATTCTGCGGCCCCACGTGAGAAATACCACATGGTTAGCTTACTAAAAAAATTGGCGAATGCGAATATACTGACTTTACAAATATCACGTATATGCATATTCCTTACTACTTTAATCCAGTGATTGACTGTTTCACGGGGAGAGGAGTGCTTATACGCCAGCCGCAGCTACTTCAGCTGTCAATTTACACACAATTCCCTGAGCATGTTTTCAGCTCCGCTCGCGTCCGCTTCACCTTCCTACTTCAACGAGTGACTAATTTAAGTAATCGGAACTGATATTGATTTAGAAAGCTGGCCATATGCTATCAACCAAGTGGGGCTGTATAACCAAACATCACCCGTCTTTCATACGGCCATTACGCAACTCAGCCCTATGAATTACGGCCAGCCCGAAACCCTCTCCCCTTCCAAATTTGCAAAAAGCCGATTCAGGTAGGAACACTGGGAAAGATTAAGAACTAGTATTAGTAGTAGTAGTAGTCGTAGTAGTAGTAGTAGTAGTAGTAGTAGTAGTAGTAGTAGTAGTAGTAGTAGTAGTAGTAGTAGTAGTAGTAGTAGTAGTAGTAGTAGTAGTAGTAGTAGTTGTAGTGGTGGTGGTAGTAGTAGTAGTAGTAGTAGTAGTAGTAGTAGTAGTAGTAGTAGTAGAAGTAGTAGTAGTAGTAGTAGTAGTAGTAGTAGTAGTAGTATTCGCGCTGATGATGGAAACGGTGTTCATCTTACTGTCGCTCAAAGTCTTTTATGTTAATGTTATCTGGTTGCCTTTTTCCATCTGTTAAGGACGCTGACGCTCGAACTCACGACCTGTTAGTTAGAAGTCCACGCCTCTAACCACTGGGCCACGAGCCCGTTGCCCTGTCGGTTTCGATCAGGCATATACAATGGAAGAGGGCTCTCACCGATCGTTCTTACGGAACTCACTCGTTCCGTTGTACCTTACGGGCTTTCTCTCGAGCCCAACCAGCAGCCGCACAGCGGCGCATGATATAGGCAAAATGGCATTACCGACAAAGACGAGGGAGACTGGAATGGCCATCTGTGGCTTATCAGCCGTCGTCAGCCAGCCATACCCAACCCCGAAGTGTGTAACACCCGAGGCTCGAACTCGCGACCTGTATATATATATATATATATATTAAAGGTATTATACCGTACTGCCGACGTAGATACTTGCTAAAAGCCCAGACACGTGTTTCGCCGATATTCTGCCGCTGCGTGACACAGCTGCGAGGGGTTCGGCTCTTCAGTGGGACCCCCAGCGTTCTCTAGCGGTTTCTGGTATATGAACTCCAGAGAATAATCAGGTGAATAATTTCAGAAATTAATCA